GCAGCTCAAACAGGTCATCGACACTGTCAAGAACAACCTGATTGACAAGGACAAGGGGTTGCAGAAGTACTTCGTGGACATCAACATCCAGAACAAGAAGCTGGAGACGCTGCTGCACAGCATGGAGGTGGCCCAGAACGGCATGGCTAAGGAGGATGGCACAGGGGAGTCGGCCGGTGGGTCCCCTGCCCGCTCCCTCACCCGCAGCTCCACCTACACCAAGCTGAGTGACCCGGCCGTCTGTGGTGACCGCCAGCCCGGTGATCCCTCCAGTGGCTCTGCTGAGGACGGGGCTGACAGCGGCTTTGCAGCAGCCGATGACACACTGAGCCGGACGGATGCGCTGGAAGCCAGCAGCCTGCTGTCATCGGGGGTGGACTGTGGCACTGAGGAGACCTCGCTGCACAGCTCCTTCGGCCTGGGCCCCCGCTTCCCTGCCAGCAACACCTATGAGAAGCTGCTGTGTGGCATGGAGGCTGGCGTGCAGGCCAGCTGCATGCAGGAGCGTGCTATCCAGACAGACTTTGTGCAGTACCAGCCTGACCTTGACACCATCCTGGAGAAGGTGACCCAGGCCCAGGTCTGTGGGACAGTCCCTGAGTCAGGGGACAGGTGCCCAGAGCTAGACACCCACCCTCCGGGACCCAGAGACCCCAACTCAGCAGTGGTGGTGACAGTGGGTGATGAGCCAGAGGCCCCAGAGCCCATCACCTGCGGACCCACCCCACAGCGGCCTGGTGCCAACCCCAACCCTGGCCAGTCGGTGAGCGTGGTGTGCCCTGTGGAGGAGGAGGAGGAGGCTGCTGCGGCTGAGAAGGAGCCTAAGAGCTACTGGAGCCGCCATTACATTGTGGATCTGCTGGCCGTGGTGGTACCAGCTGTGCCCACGGTGGCCTGGCTCTGCCGCTCCCAGAGGCGCCAGGGCCAGCCCATCTACAACATCAGCTCCCTGCTACGGGGCTGCTGCACTGTGGCCTTGCACTCCATCCGCAGGATCAGCTGCCGCTCCCTGAGCCAGCCAGGCCCCAGCCCGGCAGGCGGTGGCTCCCAGCTCTGAGGAGGCCTATTTGGGCAGCGGCACCTGCGGCCTGACCACTGATTGTAGGGATGCCGTTCTCCCTCCCTTCTCCCATGGGCATCATCTTATTTATTTAGTTTTGGGTGTGGAAATGTTTCTTTTTTTCAGGATGTTAAAACAGTATCGTGGTAGGAGTAGGGGTTGGAGAAAGGCATCCCAAAGCTTTGTTGGAGAGCAGGGAAGGGAGACCAAAGGCAGGAGGCACACTGGCTGGACACATCGCAGGGAGGGGAGGAGGCAAGAGGCAAGGGCCCCCACCCCGGCCCCTCTGTCCCCCTGGCCCTTTGGACAGGGCCAGCCCTGCTCAGGAAGTCTCTGGCTGTCTTTATCCAGAGAAGCTGGGCTTGAGTTGCTCATCGGGTCACCCGCCCTGCACTGTCCTGTCCAGTGCCCTGTTTACTCCATGCCTGCTCTTCCAAGCCACCTTGCCCTCAGCCCCGGCTGGGGAACCAGCGTCCTCTCCTCAAATGGAGGCAGCCATGGCCTAAACTGCAGACCGCTAACCCAGGGCTCAGAGCAGGGGCCGAAACCACTGGGCCGGGCCAGCGTTCCAGCCTCCCCAGACTGCTCCCCAGCTTGGGACTCAGGAGCTCAGTCAAGGCCACAGGCTGGAGGAGAGATGGGCTGGGCGCAAGGTGGCAGAGGGCAGTGTGAGTTCTGTGTGTGTCCGTTCATCCCAGGCCTTCCCGTCATCCCTTTCCTCTTGGCACCTCTGGGTGTGTCAATCATTACTCCTGTGAGGCAGCTAAGCCTGGCAAGCTCAGTGCTGGGGTAGGAGTGCCTGCCTGAGCCCCAGCTCCCAGCTGGAGAATCCACCAGCATAATAGGAGGAGGCAAGCCCCGCCAAGGGGGCTCCCCCAGCCTTTCAAGGTGAGGCCATCTCATCTGCTGGCTGGGAGGCAGGGCTGGACTCAGGAATCCAGTTTACTGAATAAGCCAGAGGCCGTTACTGCCTCCTGGAACCTGCTCCAAGTTTCTCTAGGGCCTTTGGGCCCAACTTCTGCTTTGCACTATGTTCACTTTGGGGCTGGTTCTCAGCCATGCAAGGGTATCCAGTGAGGTGGCTGCTTGCTTTCTGAGATGAGGGTTCCTAAACCTTAAAACTATCTGCCTCTGGAGAAGGGTGGGGGATTCTGGCAGGATAAATTGCAGGACGGCGTACTGAAGCCACAATGTTCATCCAGGCCAAAGCAGGGTGTCCTGGGATGGGTTTCCCAAGCACGTGTGTGGAAGAGCAGGCAGGCATCCTGCAGCCTCCCTGCTCCCAGCCCAAGGCCAGTTGGCCTGGGAAGGTTCACTGTCCCCAGCCCCTTTCCCGGGACCATACTGAGTCCCCCAGCCAAGCTGCTGACATTCTTAATACCATTATTATTTTACCAAGTAAACTCACTCCTCTTCCCCCACAGGGTTTGCACCCATCTGGTCATCCCACCCACTCTTCAGAGGTGAGGCTCCACATCTGGGGGGTTGGAGGGACTCTGTCTTCCTCGCCCCTCTGGCCTCAGGGCCACTCTGGTTCTCTGCCAAGGTTGCTTGCCCTCACCCCGATGCTTCAACAGCCATTGCCTGACTCCTGGGCTCTGCCCTTCTGCTTGGTGCCCTCCACGTGAGGTGGGGTACCTGCATGCACTGGGAATGGGCAGCTGGCCCAGCCCTTGGGGCAGGAGCCCCCTCTGCCACATGCTTTGTGCCTCCAAAGCTCCCCCCGCCTCGGTCAGGGCCTCAGACCAGCCATCCTTTGTGGAATATGCCCCAACCCAGCCAAACCAAACCTAAATGCCTGGGGCCTGGCTGGGGCTGCCCCTGCAGGACACTGTGGCCATGCCACGGAGCGGGCAGTGGACAAAACCAATCCAAAGCCAAGCTGGAACTGGCCACGGACCCAGCCTCCTGTGCCGTGCACTCATGGAGCTGCGTAGTCTCCTTAGACATAGTCCAAGCTTTGCCAAGAAAAGAAATGTATGAACTATATTTGACAACATAAAGTCTCTATATTTTTCACCACTGGAATTTAGTCAAGCTTCAAGCCCCTCTGCTCCTGTCTGTGTCTTGCGTCTGTGGCCTTCCTATTGTGTCTTGTGTTTTGGCGGATGTGACAGGGCTGGGGCCACAGTCTACTCTGTCCCTGCTGCTAGAGAAGCCACCTGTGGAGGAGTGGGCTGTGGCTGGGCCCAAGGTGGAGGTGAGTGTAGCCGGAGAAGCCACCTGCGGAGGAGGTGTATGTAGCCGGCTGCAGCCCTCTACTCCTGCTCTGGCCTGAGACCACCGTGTGGGTCACGCAGGCCCTGGCCCACAGTGTTGAGGGTCCTCTCTTTTGGGGTTTCTCCTGGGGCCTTTGATGGGCTTTTCTTCTTGTCAGTGGAGGAAGCAGCTCCCCACTCAGCCCTGGGACAGGCCCTGGGACCGTGACGGCAGGTGGTCCTGGCCCAGCTCTGGAGTGCGTGTATGTGTATCAGTATCTGCATTGACGCAGAGGTGCAGGCTGCCCGTGCGGCTCCAGGCGGTGGAGGTGAGGCAGCTACAGCTCGGGCACTGTGCCCTGAAGAGGCAGGGTACAGATGGGGCTGGGAGGGCGAAGCTGGGGCGGGTCCCCCCTCCCCCCGCCGAGAGGGCTCACCCTCCACAGCGGCCCTTTTCCTTCCTGCCTAATACCTCCTCCCGTTGGGCTGCAACCTTTTCCTCCTGCTCTCAGCTTCTGAAGCAGAAATCTTTGGGGCCTCCCCTTTCCCCAGCATCTGGCCAGAGCTGATGAGGTCCTGAGGAACAGCATCCCCAGGAACCGCCTTCTGGAACCTAGTGGCCAGAGGTGGCTTCTGCTGAGTTCTAGGGCTCGGGCCAGAGGGGCCCCACTGCCCGGCCAGTCCAGGCTCAGGCAGGCATTGGAAGCTGGGGCCCGGCCTCTGCACAGAGAGCTGCACTTGAGTGGAGCGTATTGTAGATTTCTCCCAAGGGGATCACTTAGGTTCTCACTGACACACCCTTCCCAATTGCCACTAGCACAGGGGTATCTTACAGCACTTCGGGGAGGGGTGGGACAAACTCCAAGGTTCTGGGGCCAACGCCTACCCAAGGGCCTCTGCCCAGAGAACTCGCAACCCCCTCTGTGACCTAGGAGACAACGCAAACGGGTCACAGTGCACTCCCGTATTAGGCCATCCCCTTGACAAAGAATTCAGGGGATTCGGGAAGTGGGGAGGTGGGGAGGGATCTTGACTCTTGTCTCCTTTGTCCTTTTGTTCGGACAGAGTTGTACCTGTGGCAGACAACTCTGAATTAAAGCATGAACACACAGCAAGCCCCTCAGCCTCTTTTCTTTATACTGTGTGGTTTCTCTAAACAGGGGGAGTGGGGGATTCACACTGTCCTCCTCTGACACAGAGGTCACAACACTTGCACAGGAAAAGCCAGGCAGGCAGCCATCATCTCCAACATGCAGGTAAGCAGAGAGCTGCGTGGGGCTGGGGCACCACTGTCCTCCTGGGGTCAGGCACAGGGTCTGGAACCACCTCCCCCGCCATGTGGCACACCCTGCTGGGCACCGTGAGGGCATCACGTCTCATCCCCCCAGTAGAAGCAGAAGCAGAAGCAGAAGCAGAAGCAGAAGCAGCCAGTCATATGGGAGGGGGCCCCAAAGCCAGTGCTCCCTCTGCCATTCCCACTGCCCCACAGTCCCACCCCGTCCCCACAGTTCCATCCTGTCCCCGGTTCCAGTCATCCCTGCACCAGGCTGGCAGGCAGCATGTGACAGAGGCAGAGCCAAATCATGGCTCTCAGAGGCCATGTGTTGAAAAGACCCTGGTCTCTCCACTGTTTAAGAGAAAACCAGCCCTGGCATGTCAGGGGATCAAGATTCCAAAATTTCAGTTACCGTTTAATTTTATTATTTTTGATAGTTTTGGGGGAATTACCTTTGAGGACAGGATTTTGTTTACAATCAAATCTTTATTCAAAAGATGATCAAGGCTGAGAACTTCCGCAGTCTATGACAAAGAGCAAGTCCAGGCAAGGAAAAAGCTCTCACAAAGAATGTCACTCTGGTCTCTTAAAATGTATAACTGTTTTCCTAGTAGAGCAAAATCTTGAAAGGGGCCCAGTTACAACTTTAAGAAGTGTCTAGGCAGCCTGCCTACGTGGCCAGCATTTAAACCAGCACCAGAGAATCGTCTGCCTGTGGGCCTTGCCTGAGCCTCAACCCAGCTTGGAGTCTGAGGCTCCAAGGATGCCTGTTTATAAACGACACACCCATGCCATCCCGTGGTCACCCTCCTGGACATGCCCCCCTCAAGGCAACCCCCACCTTAGGCAGCAGGCCAGCTGCAACCCATAGTCGGAGGGTGGTCGCCCTTGGCCGCAGGAGGGTGGGAGGCCTGCCCTGCCCTCTGATGGCTTCAGACATCTGGGATGGAGTGGTCCATGGTGTGGCGGAGCAGCATTGGAGATAACCTAGGTATAGCAACAACGGTGGCCAAGTTGGCAGCTCCTTCTCTCCGCCCTCCACACCCCCATCTCCTTCTGAGCCAGTGACTCCATGTGGGCCTTCACTCCCAGTTCTAAGACTTACAAATCTCCAGAAGCCACAGGCTACCTTGGAGGGAGGGGAGGGGAAGGGAGGATGGAGCTGGCTGGGTCTGTGCCCTGTGTCAGGGCTGAGAAGGTGGGAGTGGATGAACCCAGGTGCAGCCAGGAGACAAGGAGGTGAGGGGATGGCAGAGGAAGGGTACAGCCTTACTTTTTGACCATGTGCTCGTAGATCACGGCAGGGATGATGGTCAGGGTGACAACATTCCCAGCTGTGGCCAGAATCTCCATGATCTGTTTGTCCTAGAGAAAAGGCAAGTGGGCAATCACCTTAAGAACTGGGGACCAGGAGCAACTCTGCAGGCCCCTCTGTGAAAGGGTCAGCATGGCCACTGCTGGAGACCACTGATGCCTGACTGCAGGGCAGGGCTGCCTCGGACCCCGAGCCTGTCAGACAAGGGTCCCAGCAGACTCCTAGATAAAGCCTTGCTTGAGTGAGACCATGGGCCTCCCACCTGAGGATCTCCTTGGTCAAATGAGCATGCGCTTCCCACCCTCAGCTTGAAGACCAGCGGAGTGGGCCTGACGCATAACCAGGCCTCATCAATGCAATTCTTCTCCCTGTTTCAAGGGCTCTCAGAGACCCACCAAGCCCACGTTTGCTATCCTATATCCCTGGCCCCAGTCACATTTGGGTTCTGGCCTCAACCCATAAAGAGAATCCTCATCCTGTGGGTGGCATTAAGTGCACCCATCCACCCTCTGGCTCCTGCTGCCATCAGGGCCACAAGGGTCCTCCTCCTCCTCTTACATCCTCTTAGATCTGCTTGTTTGGTAAAAAGAGGCCTGCAAACACCACGTAGATCATGGGAAGAAAAAGAAACTAAAAGCCTCTAGGCAAAGTGTGCCAGGCAGTCCAAACACTAATGCTGTGGCCACAGAAGAGCCTCTGGCCCTTGCTTAGAGCCTAGTGACCTTTACTTTACACATGTATGTAATCTGGTTATGTGTTTTCTTGGTTGTTCCAAAATAAACGAGAGAAGATGTGCTAGACAGGACTAGTGATGGCCACCGGTGGAAATAAACTTTGAAAAGACAAATGATCTCAGGAAGTATGGCTGGCTGGGACAAACCCAGTTCTGAAGAGCCTGACGACCATATGGATTTCTGAATAACAATTGTCTAAAACATTCCTACCTCTGAACATGATCCACTATGCAAACAACAGTGCCATACAGAGCAAGGAGGTGTCCATGCAGCCAGCAGCCACCTGGGTGGGTGCCTGGGAACTCTACACACTCCTAATCCTGTCATGCCTCTGGCCTCCATGTGTCAGTAGCAATAGCTATTATTTACTAAGCACCTACTATATGCCTGGCACTGTGCTCAGAGCTCTAAGTACACTTTTTTTTTTTTTTTTAAGGAAGGGTCTCTCTGTTGCCCAGGCTGGAGTGCAGCAGCATGATCACAGCTCACTGCAGCCTTGACCTCCCAGGCTAAAATGGTCCTCCCAGCTCAGCCTCCTGAGTAGCTGGGACTACAGGTGTGCACCACAAGACTTGGCTAATTTTTTAGTTTTTTTTCCTTTAAAAGAGGATCTCACATTGCCCAGGCTGGTCTCGAATTCCCAGGCTCAACTGATCCTCCTGCTTTGGCCTCCCAAAGCACTCGGATTATAGACGTGAGTTGCCGCACCCAGCCCGACCAACACTGCCTTACTAAATCCTCACAGCAACCTTAGGATGAGGACACTGAGGGTCAGCTGCCCACAGACCTGAGCCCTCCCACCACCCAGTCATCCCTCCCTGGTGCAGCCACCAGCCTACCTTCAGCCCGATGACATTCTGCCCGTTCACCTCACACACATAGTGGTTGGTGAGGAGCCCGTTGCGGGCCGCAGAACTCCCTTTGACCAAAGAGACGACCTTCCCCTTCTTGACCATGAAGCCCACATGGCCCGTGCTGTCCTTGTGCATGGTGATAGTCCGCTGGAATGGCCTGGCAGGAGGGACAGTGAGCTGGCCTGGGGACGTGGCTGGGGTCAGACGGAGGGGATGCCTGGGCCTGGCTACTCACCTGTCCCGAACCACCATGACGATCTTCTCAGCTGATGCCCTCTTCACCATCCGATGGGCTTTGTGCGAGCTCCACCCAGCACAGTCACAGCCATCAATCTGCAGGATCTGGTCCCCAAAGCGCAGCCCCACAAGGGATGCAGGGGTGTTGGCCTGGACCAACTGCACAAAGAGCCCCTGGGGGAGGCAGGGTCACAGAGTCAGTGTCCCTGGCCCACCCTGGGCTGGGATCCCTCTTCCAAGCTGTTGTTTTCCTCCTGATACTCTGGGAGCCTACAGTGTCCCAGGGGCACAGCTCTGCATGGCGGGTACCGAGGTTACCCCATTTTCCTGGGGAAGAAACACTCTAAGCTGCACCGAAGGAGGTGAGTCAGGATTTCAACCCTGGCCCGAGGCTGCACCCGCAAACACTCTACTGTACCATTCACAAAGGCATGGGCTTCCCTGGCGTCCGCTGTCTACACCATCGCTTGGAAGCTAGATGTCCTGGGCAGTGAAGGGCAGGTGGGAAAGGAGGCTCCTCTGAGAGACAGGGACCCATGGAGAGGGCGGTGGAGGGCCCTGCACAACGCAGATCCAGCCCCGCCCGGGCATCGGGGCAGAGGAACAGGGAGCGAGGGCCTCGCCGCTGGGGTTAGGAGGCCCACCTTACTGTGGATTGGACCTCTGAGCTCTGAGGCCTGGCGGGAGGGCGGGTGCAGCTCGGGGCTCCTCTTCCTGCCCAGCCCCAGCGCCCTACCTGGTCGACTGTCCGCAGCCGCAGCCCTGTCTTGCCGCGCTCGTCCTTGCACAGGTGGATCTCGCGCACGCCGGGCTTGATCTCCGCTCGCCGCACGCCCAGGTTGTACCCGGACACCGGTGCCACCACCTGGCCGGGCCCAGGGCCCGAAGCCGCTGTCTGCAGACACCAGAGAGCAGGGGGTCAGCCAGGTCCGTAGGGACCCTGTGCCTCAGGAGACACTGGAGTAGGGGGAGGGATGGGGAAAGGATGGAGCGGTCCCGGGTCCCATCACGTCCCAAGTCCACACCTCTCCCCTAGCGCCGAGAGGAGACGTGGCTCCATACGGCCACTAGAGGGCGTCAAAGTCCATGCCCCTAAAAAGCCAGGAGAGAAGGGGCGAGGATACATAAAGAGGCCCTTCATTCTCCGAGGGAAATTGGTAGAAGGAAGACTCCTTTGAAATCCACTTAAAATAGAAAAAGTTACAGTAAACAGTGAGCAGAAGCGGATAAAACTACTGGATTTTTGTCTTAACAAATGTAAAAATATAAAAATTAATGGTGCAGAAAAAGGCAAGGAACTTCTCTCTCCCACCACTGTTAAAGACAGACGATCTAGCCAGCACAACAGGCACGAAAAGAGGGGGAGTCACACAGATCAGGAGAGAAGAAATAAAACGGCCCCTATCTATAGATGGCATGATGGTCTACTAGAAAATTCCAAAGAATCTGCAAATAAACTCCTAGATCAAATAGAGGAATTTAGCAAGGTCCTGGGATGCAGAATTAACATATAAAATGTTAATTGTATTCTCAGCCTCCCAAAGTGCTGGGATTACAGGCATGCCCACCACACCTGGTAGCACTTCCTTTAAAAAATTTAAACATACATTTATCATACAGCTTCACAATTGCACTTTGGGCATTTATCCCAGAGAGATGAAATGTTTGTCTATACAGAAACCTGTATACAAATAGCTTTGTTTATAACTACCAAAAACTGAAAACAACGAAACTATTCTTCAACAGGTTAGACAAATCCTGGAACATCCGCATCATGGAATCCTACTCAGCAGTAAAAAGGAATGAACGATTATTGACACACACCACGGCTTGGATGGATCTAGAGGGTTTTGTGCTGAGTGAAAAAAGCCAACCTCAAATAGTCATATACTGGATGATTCCACTTACATAACATTCTGAAATGACAAAATTACAGAGACAGAAAACAGATGCCTGATTGCCAGTGGTTAGGGAGGGTGGCGAGCAGGCAGGCACGACTATACAGAAGCAGAGGTGGTTGTGTGATGAACTAGTTCTGTGTGGACTGCAGTGCTGGTTACATGAATCTACACACTGATGAAATGACAGAGAACTAGAGACACATTATACCCGCGTAAGACTCCTGGTTTTGATAGTATACCATAGCTATGGAAAAACGTAACCACTGAGGAAGCTGGCTGAAGGGTACAAATGACTTCTCTGTACTGACTTTCATCTTCCTGAGAATCTACTATTTAACAATAAACAGTTAAAAGCCAACCTGCACAGTGACTCATGCCCATAATCCCAGCACTTCGGGAGGCCGAGGCGGGCAGATCACGAGGTCCGGAGATCGAGACCATCCTGTCTAACATGGTGAAATCCCGTCTCTACTAAAAATACAAAAATAGTTAGCTGAGCGTGGTGGCACGTGCCTGTAGTCTCAGCTACACGGGAGGTTGAGGTGGGAGAATCGCTTGAACCCAGGAGGCAGAGGTTGTAGTGAGCCGAGATTGTGCCATTGCACTCCAGCCTGGGCAACACAGAGAGACTCTATCTCAAAAAAAAAAAAAAAAGCTAAAAGCCATAAAAAATTTAAAATTATAAAAATGTATTTATCATCTTATATTTGTATCAAAATTAAGGCTGAAGGTTGAATGCATTTATGTCCTAAGTATTGGAACAAACGATGGTGACAGTGGGGACTGCCTACAGCAGGACTTTCTTTGCTTCGTGTCTGCCTTTCACAGCATGACCACGAAGGGGGCCATCATGGAGAAACACCCCAAGGTGCCACCAGTTCTTCTCAGGGTCCCACAGGGCTTCATCCTTGTCGATTTTCTCCTGTCGGATTCTCACTTTGGCAGTGGCTTTGTACACGTCTGTGACAGTTCTCCATCATCACTTGCATCAAGTTCATGAAACTCCCCAGCCTTAGCAAGCTTTGCAGTTCATACTTTCCATTCCATTGGCTCGGGATGAGCCTGGCAGGAAAGACTGACAGGTAGGACTCAGGGATGCTAGAGCGAACTGGCAAGGGCTTAGGTGGGGACTGGTTCTGCAGGCGAATACGTTTTCATAGCAAATATTTCTGATATGGCGTCTTTTTCTCCCAGAAGCCGTGGAAAGCAGGATCAAGGGGATTCCTTCTTTCCACGGCTTCTGGAAGAAAAGGGGGACCAGAGCTGGGTGGCAAGCTCCTGCCCTCTTAGCTCTGCTTATACATGCAGGCAGCCCTGTTTTTGATGCCCTCAGGTTCATGCTGGGTTTAAGGGCCTCCCTTCTCATCCAGCTCAGGCCCAAGGTCAAAGAGCAAGCCCTGGTTCCCCAGCCCCAAGGCTTGTGGGAAGATCTGAAACCGTGAAAGCCTGCAGTGCATCTCATGAAGCCTCAAATTAATAGTGCCATCAAGAAACAGCCACAGAGTGCTGGGGAGGGAGGAGGTCCGAGCACAGAGAGAAAGAAGGTCTGCTGAGTGGCAAGAACAGGAAAGAGGGAGGATTGGGACATTCTGCACCCACAGCAGGCAGAAGCCAAATACGTACACTGTCATCCTCTAGAATCTGAAGCAGGCTCTGCTGGACTTCTTGGCTGGAGAGGGAAAGACCCATATAATTTTCCAATTCTGCCAAGTTTGGGTACAAAACTGATGGGAAAGGAAGAAAGAAAAAATGTGTCATTCAAGGGTATGTGCTTCCCCATGCCCACCTGGCTCCCCTGTGGCTGCTCATTTTTATTAAGAAATGGGGCCTGGGTATGGGGTTTACTTCCAAGAGTGCAGGGTATCCCAGGAACACTAGCTGGTGAACGCTCCTCAAAGGGCCTAGGTGCAGGGTGGGACACCGAGTCCTCATGCGCCACTCTGCTATTCAACTCCACTGACTTTGTTTGGCACCCAGAAATCTCTGCACCCCTCAGTGAATGGTTCCCACCAGGACTGGCAGAGTCCTAATCCCTTCTTGTAAGGAGTTGTGTCCTTATAAGAAGAGACGACAGAGGGGGCAGGTGATCTCATGCTCTCTCTCTCTCATGTCCTCTCCTCTCTCTTTCTCTCTCTCTCTCTCTCTCTCTCTCTCTCTCTCTCTCTCTCTCTCTCGTGTCCTCTCTCTCTCTCTCTCGTTCTCTCTCTTTCTCACCCCACCCCCACCCCTAAGCAAGTGCACTGAGGAAAGGCCATGGAAGGACTCAGCCAGAAGGTGGCAATCTGCAAGCTGGGAAGGGAGCCCTCACTAGAAACCAAATTGGCCAGAACCTTGATCTTGGGCTTCCAGCCTTCAGAGCTGCGGGAATATACATTTCTACTGTTGAAGCCATCCAGCCTATGGTATTTTGTTATGGCAGCCTGAGCTGAATAAGGCAAGTGGGGTTCTGGTCCCTTCTCTCTTTGGGGCGCTATTTGCCATCCACTTCTCCCCCACCTGCCCCCACCCCAGGCCAGCCACAGTTCCAGCAAGGAAGTCTGGCAAGTGTGGTATTTCATTCCTGAGGTCACATGAGATTGGGTCACCAGAATAGTGCTGACATGCTAAACTGAGGTGACTCCAATTGTTTATTTAGACAGAGGTCCCCACAAATGATACCACATTCTCAAGGCAGCCTTGCTGGAGGCATCAGAGAAGACCCAGCTTCCCTAACTCTAAGTTGGGTTTGGAACGATAAACAGGAGTTCGCCAGGCCATCGGGTAGGAAGGGAGCAGCATGGGCACAGGCTCTGGGAAGTGAAGTGCCTCGGCCCAGGTCACCCAGGCAGTAACATGTGGGTAGCAAATGGAAGCCTGGTCCTTTCCTCTGCCATGTTGAATCATAACCTAGGAGCCTCCCATACCTTTGGCATTGCCAAGCTTCCCTGATGACCTCTTCCCTGAACGGACTGGGCACCCAGGAGCCCCCCAACCCAGCTCACTCACCTGGTGTTGGAGAAATGGCTGCCGCCTGGACTGGCAGGGCTGGCATCTTGGGTGAGGCTCTGGCCTGGGCCTAGAAAGGGGCAGGGAGCACTGGTCAGCTGTGGCCAGGACTCCAGGAACCCCAGAGCCTGGAGCTGCACGAGGCCAGGGTCTGGGCATCAGGTATGTGAGTGGGCCCCGGGTGTGAGGGGGGAGCGTCCACCAACCCTCAGGGCTCAAGATCACATAAATGTGGCCTCTGCAGATGTGTCTTTTCCTGGGAGGAAGTTCTGAGGACTGTGACCCACCATATGCCACAACTCATTTACTGCCTGCAGAAGGAAGAACATCAAGGCCCATCTCCCAATCAAATTCTCAGCTGAGAAGTTCCAAATTCTCAAAACCCACTGGAACCACAGAGTGCTGGGATGGAGGGACAAGGGGGCACTGGGGCTGAGCAGGCCAATTCCCACACCCAGAGTCTTGTTTCCTCTGAAAGCCTGCCTCAGAGCATGGGGCCTGCCCATCCTGGACGGAGGGAGAGCTGGGACTGGGCGGGCCAGAGCGGGAATGAGAGAGGCATGTGTGCAGCTGCGTGGTCTCGTCCATTCTCTCTGTAACACCACTGGCATTGCCTCCAGATGCCTTCTCTGCCCAGCAGGCCCTGCAGTGGAGACCTACATGCCCTGAGGCCTACAGGAATTTCCAAGTGGCCCCAATACCCAGCTCCTTCCAGGGTAATCCTCAAGGTCCCCTTCAGCGCCTGGCGACTTACCTGAATGGCTTGGTCCACTTTTAGGTCCTCCAGGGATGGGTACAGGGACGACATGGCTGCTTCTCGGAACACCCTGCAGAGCGCAGAGGGTGGGGAGGGATGAAGACAAAGCTCATGCCCCCTTGAGAGGAGTCAAAGACATTTGTAACAGCAAGCGGGCTGGAAGTTAATATTCAAACAGAAAGGCATCAGGGCACTTAGAATCCCTCCCGGAACTCCGCCCCGAATTCCCTCTCAATATTGGAGCTCTACTGTATTCCACCCATCTCCAGCCTTACTGTCAACTTTTAATCTTGGCCACAGTGAAGTAAGACCAGTAGGAAATTTATAAAGACTATCACACAAACTGTAGCAGAACATAGACACTCAACAGAGCACTGCTCAGAGGGAGGCAGGAATGGGGGATGGAGAGGCACCCTGAACATTCATTCACTAAACACCTTCTCATTGTCCTGGGGAGAATCAGCAGGGTCTCTGAGCAAGGTGCCCAGAGAAAGTGAAAGGAATGATGACGTCTCAAGACATGTTTTATTTCCTTCCTGACAAAATGTGGGGAAGCAGTCTGCCTTTCTGGGTTCCTTCCTTTACCCACTAACCACTGGCTCTGTCACTCCTCCAGGCTTCGCCGAGGCAGTCTACTTCAATGGATCCCTTCTTGGTCACCCTCAGTTCCTGTGGGACAGGCCTCCCCTGGCTCCCAGGCAGCACGGTCACTGCCCCGGGACAGTGCTGGGCTGAATTTCAGTCTCCCGCCTGAACTCACTAATTATGCTGACTTCAGTTCTGAGGGGTCAAGGTGTGTCCTGTTCACCCCACTGAACCCACATGTGACAGGTACACATGACAAAGGCATGCCTGCTGGTGGCACAGGAAACTGAGGGGCCTGTGCTGGGGTGATGTGACTTCACTCACAAGGGCAGGAGCTCTGTCCTGTTCACACTCGATCCTTTCCCACCACGACACTGCCCAGCACACGTGTGCTAGCAGAAATTGTTTGACTGAATAAATCAGTGGTTTTCCAAGGAACAGATTGGAAATTTGTGCGGGTATTTTTGGGTGTCACAAGACTGAGGGGACAGTCATATCCCTGGGAGGGGGGCAGGATATGAAACTCCTGTAATGGATGGGACAGTCCATTACAGTCACCACAACAAATGGTCCTGTCCCACACAACTTTCAGATCAAACCTTCAAATAGGCCAAAAATCTGTTATAGTTGGTTGAATATACAATCACAGTGAATTTTTCCCTAGTTTTAATACAGACAAGATTGTCTGGAAATGCATACAGTAGGTTAGTTGTGGGGAGTTACACTGTGCTCACCATTCTAGAAAATCACTGCCCACCCTGCTCACCATGGGTGAGTCACTAGAACAGCATGCCCACGTCTGTGAGCATGTGTAGCTGTCAGAGTGGCTCCACGCTTCTACACAAATATATTTAGCCTTTGATTCAAGATGTCAGATATAAACTGTTGGCAAAATCCAGCTGAATATTCTCTTCCAGTAGATCTAAGCTGACTCCTAAGTTAGGTATAAGCATGATCGGGTGTAAGCCAGCCTCAGCTTTTACAAAGTGAAATGCATATTCTTTTATTAGAAATTGCTTTCATTTCCCTGACTTCTCCTTTATAAAGACAGGGCCTCATATTGATTTTTTTACCCGGGGGAACCATCACCTAGGCTATAGACTCGGGACAAACCTGCCCCTTCCCTTGGCCTCAATTTCCTGCTTTGGGAAATAGGAGCCACGAGGCACAAGCTCCATCCACTGCGCGAGTCCAGGAGAGAGGGCCAACGCGGTCCTTAGGGCCTGCCTCCACCCTGGCCTCAGTTTCCCATTTGTCACATCGTTCCACGATCTCGAAACTCCCACAACCCCCGCCGCCGCCCCAAACCAGCCGGAAGCGACATCTCCCCGTTGCTACAGGTTACGGCGGTTGCTAAGAGCTACGGCGCCTGCGCAGAAACCCCGCCAAGTGACGCGGCAGTGTCTGGAGTGCGTCTCGCCCACCCGGACTCAGGCGCGGCTAGGCGTGACTCCCACGATCTCTGGCGGCTGCGGAGTGGAAAATGGCGGCCTCCATGCCGCGTGGGTTGTTGGTCGGGTGGGTTACTAGAGTCCGCCCGGTCTCGTGCTTTCTCTGGGCACCCGTAGCTGGCGCCGGCATCCACAAAAATAAATCAGGTAAAGCACCAGAGTAAAGGGATAGGAAGGCTCGGTCGGGCTCCGCGGCCCCTCTTTACCGGATTGGAGGCTGCGAGGGTGAAATCGAGCTTTAAACTCCCCTGGCCTCTGAACACCATTTTAGCCTCCGAAGGAGGACTTATAAGATTCTGTACTAAGGCAGCCGTGGGAAAGGAGGAGAACCAGACCGACCCGTGAGCTCCAGGCTGCTCTTGCGCGCCCTTTGGTTTCGGAGGCGTCAGGTCCCAAGGTATTTCCTACCAATTGTGACGTCACCCTTCCTCCCACCCTCTCACCCGTTTCTTGTCTGGCAGTGACTTCTGACCCATTGCTAAGCTAAAAAGGCCCCGCCCTATCCTACGCAGATTCGCCTCGGGTCCCACCTACCAGTGACTGATTGGGCCTCTGCTGCCTAGGGAAGGGTTCTTGGCTTCGCCGGGTAAATCAGTTCCCGCAGCAAAATCAGACCAAAAGCCAGTTATGAGGGACTCAGACAGTTGGGTCTGGCGTATAGGAAAAAGGCTAGGGCAATCTGGAAGGTCTCCTGGAGGGAGGAAGAAGACTGGGCCATGTAGGATGGATATTCAAGTGGGTGAAAAGAGGGTGCTGTTCCAGGGACAGGGAGGCCCGGGCCTGAGAGTCTAGTTGCCTTCTGGATCCCGTTTACCTCCTGCATGTTATCCAAACTGGACTCATAATTCTCCCCAGCAGCTGCTGCGCCTCCACAGCAGTCCCACTAAATCCACCCAGGGCTGTGCCAGAAATCTGGGCGTTATCCTCGGCTCCTCCCTTTCCCTTCTGCAGCCATACCTAGTTCCTGCCCTCGAATTTCTGTGACCTGACTTCTGGTAATGTTTGTAATCTCACCAACTCACGCTTTGCCACACTCATCATGGAGTTCATTTACTCCAGACTGCTTTAGGTTGAGTCCTAAAACTCAACCTGCTAGTTCATGCCTCCATGCGTTTGCAGGTGCTGCTCCCTCTGTCTTAAATGTCATTCATGCCTTCTCTCTTTTCCTTGTTGTGAACTCTTCTTCCTCCAATTCAGAGCTTTCCCCCACAACCACATGTACCCATGGAGATTGGCAAGCCTCCCTTCTGTAGACTACAGCATTTCTTATATTTGCCTCTTCATCATTCATTCCACAAATGTTTGTTAATCACCTATTGTGAGCAAGGCCTTCTGCATTTCCTGGGTTGGATTTCCAGTGTGCTGTGTTTGTTTGCTCATCTCCCTCACTGGTCAGGAAATGTCACTCATTTGTTAACCCCCAGTGCTGTGCACAGTGCCTGGCACACAACAGGCGTCTTGTTACTATTTCTGCAAGGAGTGGAAAAGCAAGGACAGAGAGAAGAGAAAGCCTGATATCCTAACTATACAGACTTTCTTCCCATGCTTGTCTATGTTTGCACTCACTAAGTAGAAAATCCTCCAAAGAATTACCTGGGTCTAGAAAGAGAGCGAAAATACAACCATAATGAGTTGGGTTGAAAGGCTGCCTGGCTCCTATAATCTGACAATAGAAGTTTGCTCAGTTCTGTGCTGTCGGCTTCCTGCAAGTACTTAACTCCTCTGAAAGGAAAAGAACCCACCTAACTCCTCTCTCCCAGAGGAATTTTCCTCTCCCACAGCACTTTCCAGATTTCCATCCCTGAGCTTCTGTACTTTTTGATGTTATAAGCAATAACACCCACAACAAACCAATAGTTGGGCTTTGGAGATTAGCAGGGCTGACAAGGGGACTTCAGCCCCCATCTTTGAACTTAGAGAGAGAACACTTGTTTGGAACACTTTGTTCCAAAGAGCTGAAGCAATGGGACTCCCACTCGTTCCTGTGGACAGCTCATCCATCCTTTACAAGACGGCGCGCGGGAGGGAAGCGTGGGTTAGAGTGTCAGAGGAATAGCTCCTGGAAGGCCAAATTAACCCAGGGATATGGTGAGTTGGAATGGAAGAAGCTGTTGCTAGGCCACCAGCATGTACCCCTGCTCCTCCTCTCAGGGCTGCACTGCCTGCTGGAGAAAAGCTGTGACTTCCTCAGACACACCTGAACCCACCCTCGGGGTGTGGGTCGGGGGGCCGGAGGGAACGGCAGGGTTCAGACTGACTGCTTCTGACTTGTGAGAGCACAGCATAGGCAGGTCCCTTTTGAATGCCATTTCTGCCCTTGTAATCTGGATAATAACACTTGAATCACAGTTATCTGGAGATTGAAAGATTTTTAAAAAGAGGTAAGATGTATATGGAAAGCATTTAGCACGGTACCTGGCACAGAATGGGCATTCAGTAAAAGTTAGCTGTTTATTCATTGTTTCAACACTTACTTACTGAGCACCTACCAAGTCTGAGTACTGTTGTAGGTGTTAGCAGTGAAGGAAAGAATAACTGGTCCCCAAATGCGCTGTTTTGGGGAGGAGCTGGATAAATAGGCTCTGTGACTTTATGTGCTGTGTTAGATGGTAGGAGGCAATGGAGAGCAAAGAGCAGGATGGAGGGTTGTGTCAGGAGGTTCAGAAGCCTTGCTGGCAGGCTGGGGTGACATTTGAGGAAAGGCCTAAAGGGGTGGGGAAGAGCCTTTCAGACTGAGGGCATGGCCATTGCAGAGGCTCTCAGGTGGGAGCTGGTGTTGTGTTTAGAGAGCATCTCACCAGTGAGAAGCTGTTCAGGGAGGGAGTAAGGAGGAGTAGTGGGAAGGAGGCTGGAGAAGCGAGAGAGGCCAGATCCTGGAGGGCCTGGAGGCCGTGATGAGGACACAGGCATTTACTGTAGTGAGGTGGGAGCCACTGGGGAATTTGAGCAGCCAAGTGCCAAGTCCCAGGGGTTATTTTAACAGGGCTTCCTCTGGCTGATGTTTGGAGGGTAGGCTGCAGGGCAGGAGTGGGAGCAGGAGTCCAGGTGGGAAGTGAGGGTGCTGGTATTGTCATGAGCTTGGTCCACTGTATGTGAAGCCACCTGTCCAGGGCCCACCCATTTCCTACCCCATTTTCTGAGGCCCCGCTGAGGAGGGCATGCACTGGCTCCTTGTGTCCAGTATGTCCTTCCATTCTCCCAACTTTATGGGCTCTTTTCAGTCTCCAGATGAAGAAGCCAGTTTTCAGAAAGGTGAGGCCCCTGGCATAGTGCCCCAGCAGGTGTTTCAGTGCTGTAGCCGGAGGGTTTCTTGATAAAAACAGCTTCAAGCCAGAGAAGGAGGCCTGGGCTATGGATTCCTTGGGGGGAATGGGCTTTTTGCCTGCCTGCAGCTTCTGGTTTCAGCTGAAATTGGCCTTTCAAGGAGCAAAGTGTGGGTCTGGGCGGTCAGAAGGCAGTGGAGGCCTCATGATGTCTGAGCAGAGAAAGTCACTCAGCCTCAATCACACCTGGCCCAAGGCCGGGATCAGAGGAAGAAACCTCACTTCACACTTGACTCCTGGAGTGAAGCACTCGAAAGGAAGCTGCCTGCGAAGTCCCAGAAGGGAAGGGGCAGGAAGGGAAGGAGACAGGGTGAGAGCAGGTCTCACTCATCCCAATCCCAGCCAGGATCAGGTCAGGACTCCCAGCGCTTACCTGCAGGCTAGGTGCTCCTCCACGTCCTTCTCCAGCTGCTGCTGAATCTGTTTCCCTTCCTGGAAGGTAGCCCTGTCTCAGCTGGCTTCGTGCTCTGGGAAGGGTGGCGCCCGTCCCCTGTTCAGCTGACTCACCTTGGACTGGGTTGGGCACAGGTCAGGCCTGTGACTGGGTAAACAAGGCAGGTCGCCAACCCAGAGGAGGCCTTTGGCCTTAGTCTAGATTTAGAGGTGGGATTAAGGCCCTCACAGCTGCTATTGAGAGGGTTATGAACCAAGACTTCTTGGCCTTTTCTTAAATAGCTCTAAATTTGGGTTGGACGCCTAGTCCTGTGGATTGGGGAAGGCAGCTGACTAGAGGGTGGTTTGTGATAGGTATCTAGGGGTCTAGGCCAGGCTATTAAAAAGTGGCCAGACCCTGTGACCCAGCATTTCTTGGAATTTGTTACAGTGAAGTCTCAGGGCCCATCCATCATTGCTGCTTCTATAAGGAAAATGTGGAAATCCCCAATGCCTCTGCTTAGTAAATCATTATCTGTGGAAGATCACAAAGCTATTAAAGTCATTTAAGGAAGAAGCTATGAGGAAATATTTCTGAGATTCTCGTGAGATATTGAAAAATCAATATTGTGAATCTTCTTGTATTGTGCTTTCGCTTTTTGTAAAGCGGGCATGCGTTGAAAGCAGTCTAGGAGGCCATACGCTAAAATGCCGAGTATCTCTGCATGGTGGCGTTGAGGTTTTCAGTTTGTACTTTTGTATGTTCCAAGGTGATGTTTTTCTTTTTTGTTTGTTTGTTTTTTTACAGTCATGACTCTTGTAAGGGGGAAGTGATTACGTTTAATTATTTTAATGGGAATTTGGATTGGTTGTCTCCTGGGAGCTGAACTGAGGAACTGTGTGCTGAAGTGCAGATTTTTTTAATGGCACGTTTTTTGGTGTCTTAAATTTTGAAAAGATTAAATGTACTACTTATTCCAAAAACAATCATATAAATTTAAACAGAAAAGGAGGAAGAATTTAGTAAGATCCTGGTGGGTTTGGTAGGACAAGGGTGCCTGTCCCATGGGTACCTGGAGAGGGACGGGAACCCACGTGCTGGGCAGTCCTATGAGGAGTGACAGTGTACATACTCAGGGTGTATCAGCATCTGGGCTGCCCGCCAGGCCACACAGGCCCATGCCACAGTCCCCATGACCCACC